TTATTCAACTCAGTTACACAGATTGTTGTTGTTGTGGAACGTCGCTCCAGCAGCATGTTGAGTTTGAAATTCCTCTTGAAGGGAACTCGCCATGTGGTAAAATTGGCAAATGATGGGTAGGAGTTCATCAAGTAAGGCGATCTCAGCAAAGTTATCTATCCCAGCAAGTTCAGCTTTACAGCGTTAACACATTGACGACAACGCGAGTTTTGGCTTTTTTGGCCACGTGGGACCGCGGCGATTTTGCGGGCGCGCTCGCCTCAGGTCGTTCATTTGAGTGACGAGTACACAACTAATAATCAATTCAAAACCAAATCAGTAAATTGTAATGAGAACAACATACCCAGGGGTACAGTAGTGGAATTTCCATCTAATAGAAATCCTCCTCTAAATTAAAGCATATAAGGCCATTCTATGGGCCACCATGTTTGTCGCTACGTCAAGGTCTCTTCCATGGAATAAATACAAGAAACTTCTAAAAGAATCAGGCGTGCGCGAAAAAAATGAGTGTAATGGGTGCGGGGGATATATATCCCGCACGGTCCGACATGGCCTGCAATGCGCGGGATATATATCCCCCGCGTTGTCGTCAATGTGTTAATTGTGCGGTGTGCGTCCGTGTACAGAGTCGTGTCGTCTGTGCCTACAGACAAGATGTGGCTGTTTATGATGGTCGCCGCGGATGCCCCCAGTAAAACTCTGAATTTTGACACCTGGATGATAATTTTTCGTTTCTTTTAGTTTTACATGGCCTGGAGAGCTAGGCCGGCCACATGCCGCATACAATCACCACAACCTTCGCTTTGCGCACTTTCGATTCTCAGGAGTGCAGAAGACTTCGATCGCGGTTGATCCAAGCAGCAAAACTTGACACTCGTTGCAAAGAATTCATTCTACTGGGCTATAGGGAAATTTTTGCGAAATTTTTGTATTCGTTTTTTTGCTCGCAAACGTCATCGCTATCGCGCTCAAAAACGTTTAGATGGCTCAAAAATAATTACGGAACATCGTCCACGTACTACGTTGAGGTCAAGCGTGAGGTTTCCGTTCTCTTGTTCAGCCACATGTTAGCATTGCCGCGTCCTCACCTCACCGCGCGTGCTAAACATTGTATAGACGCTGCTAGACACGCTGAATTTTTACTAAAAGGAGGATTTCAGGATAAAGTTGGAGGTTGAAAGGGGGAAATATACAGTAGCGGTCAAAAGGGTTCGCCGAAACAGTTTTCGGTCCCTCTTAATTTGCTGAAAAAAATCAATGGTGACCTCGGGAATTTTTTTGAACATCCTGATTCTTTAGACTTGAGGATATAAAAACACTAGAAAACATAGTATATCAATCTTTGAGGGCGTTGCTCAAGCGAGAAAAAATAATGCACTAAAAATCGTTTCGGCGAACACTTTTGACCGCTACTGTACCTAATGAAAAGCGCGGGTTCGTAGCGAGGAGTATGACCCAGCGGCCAAGCAAGGTAGCCGCTCTCATCTTTGCGCCCGCAGATAGGAAACCTCCCGCCGTCTGACTCTAGCCGTTCAGCAGAGAGAGCGTTAGCAAAGGGCAGACAATGGGTCTCATTTGGGTTGTAAGCTGTTTCTTGCTTTTTTTCGTCACCCCGCATCCTTGACCATCTCAACCTTTATTTCTAGTGGGCAGTCTTTTCATCGAAAATTTCGCCTCGAATGCATACACGTCAAGGTTTGTGACTGTTAAAAAAAGTAAAATAACAGCGGAAGGGTGAAAATTTGATAGCTACAGCAAAGTACAGTCCCGTATCTTTATGTATTACCGTAGCTTTACCGAAGCGTGGAAATTGACAGAGCGGATGTAGTATAGTTACAGATTCGAATGATTTTCTCTGTTCCAGGTCCAAGGAAATTTCAACTCGCTACATGCGTTCTTGCAGTCCTATTGTGCACCTTTTCATGTAAGTTCATAAGATCGCTGGTTAGCTCTGCAAAATACCTTCATGACGTTACTTCATTAATGAGTGTCCTTTCAGCTAGCTCTCGCCTATTTCTTGCTGTCACCTGCCGGATTTCCTCAGGAGAAACCATTTGTATTTGGTCAAGCGTTTTGCGCTCTACTATCGCTGTTAACAAGACTACTTACTGCTTGGCATCTTACTGAGAAAACCACTCGTGGACTTCTTATATCAGACCAGGTTAGTGGATCGTCTATTGCGTTTTTTTTTTAGCAAATTCGATTTTTTAATATTGCTCCATGTATTATCTATCGCACTGGAATTCTTTTCGCATTAGACATTAAATTATTATTCCGTTTTCAGTTTATTCTGTGTGCTTTCCTCACTGAAGGGGCATGGCTTGTCTGTGAAAGCGTGAAACTATTCACCTACCAGAAAACCAACCAGGATGAAATCGATCAAATGTGCAAGAGGACAACGCTATGGCTGGAGGTGAGTAGTTCTAGTAAGGGAGCTATTGGTACGCAGTTTCGGAACGCTACTTTTAATCCGAATTGGTATCGAATGGGTGCTATAGAATCAGTGCGGGTGCCTACGATTGGTCATTATGAGCAAGCAACCAATCATAGGTAGTCCTGTATCCAATTCAGAAAGCGTACGAAGTGACCAGCCAGTAGCTCAACTACATAGCATAGCCTCTTACATTTTTGTCATTATTCTAAGGATTAATTCCTTTTGTCTAGGAATTGTTTTATTTTTTGTGAATGAAGGGCTTCCAAGAGCGTTGTTACTGGTTAGAACCAATGTTAGATTGTCTTTTTTTCAGGGAAAAGGTTCATTCTACTTCGAGAACGTATTCTACATTGATGCCGCACTCAGTCTCCTGATGTCATTCACTCATTTCGCTTTCCCTCAACATATTTTGAAAATAGTGGTAATTTAATTTCTATTACAATTGTACGCATTACCATAAGAACTTGTAAATCTCCCATATGAAATTAAGGCAGGCTCACTTAATGATGAGTTCAGGTGAATGATCATCTTTGATAAGTGGCATAACGAAGTCCACGAAGTAGAGATGTGCCGCTAATGCTCGAATGTGGGCTTGCCATGACCGCTTCGACCGCTTCCGCTGTTTCTCGATCCCAATGGGCGGGTGTCTGCTATATCATCCGTGGTGCTCTCTCGCCTATCCCCTCTATCCCACGCCGATTGTTTTATTAATTAAGCACAGCCGAGTTACAAAAATAACGAAGTTTATAAGTTCAGCGCTTTGAAAGGGTTGTTCCTTCACTGTCGGTTCAGTTCCCCCTACACTTCATTTTCACAAGCAAGAACCCCACCAGTTCGATAGTGGGGCGTGCGCCTTTAAATTAGATGGCGCTTGCTAGGGAGAAGTTCATGACCAATGCCATCAGCGCTTACGTGTGCGTCACGGTTATGTCAGTGCCGTGCCTGCTACTTGCTAACAGATTTATTAGTCTATCGCACGCGCTCTATATGTGTTTCACATTTCTCACTTTTGAGGAATGAGTTGACAAAAAACTTGGGTATGTTGTGTTTTTACGGCTGGAGTGTTTTCGGTGAAAAACAATAATTATGGCAGCTTTGTAATTGGTTCACTGTTGTTTTCCCTTTATTTGCTTATAAGCTTAGATTAATGGCTGAGTATTCTTCTGTACTCACATCACATTATGTGGTGTCGTATGTTCGGCTGCCTGAGTCTGCTCCCAGCACTGTGTTCGCTTTCGGCCCGCCACCTCCCACCGCTCGTTCAGACGCACTACCTTGCTAGTCGTCTCATTGTAAGCAAATTTTTACTTTACAAAAATTGATCGGGTTGAAAATATAAGACGGTGAATGTGTTGCAATACTCTAGAGAAATGGTAAATAACTGGAAGTTGCGAAAGTTATGCTCGACGATGATTGTTGCAAGTGATCAGTCACTCGTTAGCTCCTCCGGATGCGCTTCGCTTTCTTAGAGAAAGCTTACAATGGGCACAAGTCAAGTACAACACAAACTGAATAAATGGGAAAAAAATGCATTGGACAGGTTCTTGTCAAAGCGTCATATTTTTCCAGGCCCAAGTCATGGTGTTCCTTCTGAATGTTTTCGGGCACTGGTATCTTGGTATTTTCTCACCAAATCACATCTCCGGATTCATGATCTCAGGATTTTATATGTCATTCCTGTTCTCCGCCTTCTATCGTGCAACTTCGCAGTATAAGGTTTGTTTCTTTCAATAAGTTTAATAAGCGAGGAAAAACCGCTGAGTGCCTAATGACATTTATAAGGTGATATCCTAAGGCAATGGCCGCCACATTCCTCAGATTCAGCACCATGCTACAAAGTGGCAGGGTGTGACCGGCGCCGTTACCATTAGATCGTATCTCACTTATTTTGTCACTCGCCTAAAGAGGGGGTCTCAAACGGGATTCGAATATTCTCTCTTTTGTGGTTGGTGGCTACTGTCACGCAAGAAAGTAATTAGCAAGGTTGCTCTTAACTTGGATCAGTTTTATGAGAATGATGCGTGTCAGAAGACCCGCTTTTGCGGCGATGACGGCGACACAGGTGTGTCGCGCACCATTTACACGACAGTCCGTCGCAGTGGGTGGGTAACCGCGCCGCTGACTCACGCAATGACTAATTTTTGCGCGCTACTGAAATTGGGATCTTGTGACCTACACACCAGTATGTTGATGTTAACGACCCATCTTTGCCAGTAGGCTGTTTCACATTGTTCAGATTTCTTTGATTAATTTTCCCGACATCATAAGAAGGGAGCGACCATCCGCCAAACGTCAGTTTAGACATTACCTTGAGAAACCCAAAAGACAAAGGCTAATTGTCTCGGAAGTAAGCCAATCTTCAATGTTTGCCTCACGTAGCCTCATCCTCTAGAGTCAGGAGGACCATTACACCATGCTAAAAAGAATATAAAATACTTTGAGAAAGGTGGGCTTCTCTTAATGATCCGTTTTTATTCCAGAATCTTCCACACATCACCATTCGTCAGAAAACAAAAGCCACATGAATGGACCACTTATGCTTAACCTTCAGCTACTATATATGGCACCTACTCATCGCAATACACTACCTCATTTAGATCTCGTTACTTCTGCATGTTACGAAATGATAGAAGCCCTTCGGCAGTTCTTAGATAGACTTCCATCTTAACTACTTTGTAGCATTTTCTGCTGGGACGGTAGCCCCGGGAGAACTAGACCAAAAATTTGTCGGGATGTTTTATGCGAACTGCCACGATTTTTCAGTAAGTTGTTGCAAAGCGAAAGGAATCCTGTATGGTTTTCCTCGCCTCCTCTTTGACCTTACACCAGTACGCGCAGCGAAATCCTTCTTGTGGAATACCCGACAGGAGGCCGGTCGCGCTGCGAAAAGGCAGATGCATACGACTCAGCGTCGAGTCGCAGTGCCTACTGGAGTAATTTGCGTCAAGTTAAATAAAGTTACTATAACGTTCTACATCACATAGCACGTGCTGTGACTCAGCACGTGCTGGGACTCATTCGCTAACCCGTCTACGTTTCTGCCAACTCGTCGCGCGACGGGCCTCCTGTCGGGTACCCCTTCTTCTGCGAAGAGCTAACACTTTCAGTTTGAAAGTGCAAAGCATGGCCATCTTTTCTGTCCACGTCTTTGGTTACACTGCTATGTGAAATACAACTGCCAATTCTGCGGTCCTCTACCAACTTTTTCAAGAACTTGCTGTTAATGAGACCAGTAATTATCCGAGACGGTCTAGGAGATCCTTCAGTCGTCTTATAATCGCAATGCCTGTCCATGAGACCATGTGGCGTGGCATCCCGTAGAAGTCCCGTTTACGCTTCGGGGCGTGGGTCAACCGATCCAGATTGCGGCGTCGAGGCTCTAGCAGGATGACCGTTTCGTCGCTGAAATAACATAAGCACTACAGACGCTGATGTAACATGAAGAACCCGCACATCGTCTCGAGGGCCATGACCTAATCTGAACGCACCGCCACTTTCATTATCTTCCTACCCCTTACCCTCATGCGTTGGAGAAGAAACTACGTTGTGTGCAGTGGCAGCCACACTTTCACGCGGCTGCCACTGCACACCAGGATTGGTCCTTTCGAAGGGCTTCTATCATTTTGTTACAGATTTTTTCATACTATTTTCAATATCTCTCGCATACTTTGTACATACAATAAACAGGAAACACATTTATTGAACAATAACAATAACATTGTGTAATTAGTGCACACTGGCATGCGCATAGAATCTATTAGTTATAGATAATGTAGAGAATTCAACACGAAGCCGTGAGGAATGAAATGGCATGCAGCTGCGCTCAACATGAGTGCTCTCGCAACATGGTTGTGATGCGTAGAGTGCCAGGGTTGTCTATGATTGGTGCTCAGCTAAGCACCAATCATAGCCAACAGAGTGACGTAGTGCATGCTTTGCATCTCCATTTTAAACCTTACGTTAAGTGAATACGCCGACATCATAGTTGGCACTATTCCATTTTTTTTTGAAAACATGACTCTTAGTCAATATGGAATTGCTCATTACCAGGCATTCTAATCAATAATTGCAAAGCTACTGTTTTACTGGAAATCACGAGAAACTGTGGAGGAAATGTAGGATTGGTTACTTAAAGCAACAGTCCCAGCAGGGTGGGCGTGGTCGGAAACGACTGCAATCCCCTCGGCCGATTCCGACCACGCCCACTTCAGCTCCCTGCCTAGCGGCTTTCCAAGGTGAGTTTTTGTTCAGTCACACTTCTTACGTTCTTGACTAGGGGCTGAACAGCTCCGAAGTGGGAATCGGCCGAGGGGATTGCAGCCGTTTCCGACCACGCCCACCCTGCTGGGACTGTTGTTTTGTTCTGAGGTCTACGAAACGCGCCCGGTCGTCTGGTCGTTCGCACTGCAGCCGTACGCGGAAATTCGTGGCAACCTCACATTGACTTGCTAGTATACAGCTATTCTGTTTGTATGAAAAAAAGGTAAAAGGTAACCTACTAACAAACGAGTGCGCGTAAGTGATTACTTACTAAAATAATCAGTATGTTGAAACATGGATCTGCACCAATTACTTTTACCTGTTTATCGAATCTTCTTATGTCCTATGTTAATGTTATGCATATGTGTCAAATGCCTGTTGCCTGCGAGGCATTGACGAGCTCGAGCTATTTTCCTCTACCCCGGGGTGGTAGCACGTTCGGTGCATATGAGAATGGTCGCTTTCAGTAGGACTACTTGCGAAAGCAGTTTTAAGTCGTTAACTGGAAGAACAACTGGAATGACACAAAGGCTGACGGAGCACATAGGAGAAAGCA